TGCCAGTCTCAAAAAGGACAAAAAAAAAAAAAAAAAGAAATTAAAGATGACACACACAAAAATGAGAAGAGATGTACCCTCATATAGGATCATATCATCTACAAATAGAGATAATTTTTACTTTTTCCTTCCAATTTGGATTCTTTTTATTTCTTTTTCTTGTTGGATTTCTCTTGCTAGTGCTTCCAGTACTAAGTTAAAAATAAGTTGTGAGCCTGGACATCCTTGCCTTGTACTAGATTTTAGTGGCAAAAGGTTTCAGCTTTTCTCATTTGGTTACAATGTTAGCTGTGAGTTTTTTATAATTGACCTTCATTATGTTGAGGAAACTTCCTTCTATGCCTAAACTGTTGAAAGTTTTTATCAAGCAAAGATGTTGAACTTTGTCAAATGCTTTTTCTTTGTCAATTGAGATGATCATGTGTTTTTTTCTCTTTCATTCTGCTTCTGTGATGTATCACATTGATTGATTTGCATATGTTAAATATGTCCTACAGGCCAGGAATAAATCTCACTTGTTCATGATGTATAATCTTTTTTGATGTATTGAATTCAGTTTGCTAATATTTTATTAAAATTTTTTGCATTGAGGTTTATTAAAAAAATTACCCTGTAGTTTCTGTAGTTTTCTTGTGATGTCTTTGTGTGGCTTACGTATTGAAGTGATTCTGGCCTTATAAAATGTGGTTGCAAGTATTAATTCAAGTTCTGTTTTTTAGAACAGTTTAAGATTTGTTGGTGGTAATTCTCCTTTGAATCTTTGGTAGAATTGAGCCATGAAGCCACCTGTTCCTGCGATTTCTTTGTTGACAGGTTTTTGTTTACTTCTTCAAGCTCTGTGTTTATTATTGGTCTGTTCAGCTTTGTATTGCTTCCCGATTCAAGATTGATAGTTTGTATTTTTTAAGGAATTTATACAACTGTTCATAATAGTCTTTTATGATCATTTTTATTTCTGAGATGTCTGTTGTAATGTCTTCACTTTCATTTAGATTAATTTATTAACTTGCCTCTCTTTTTTACTTAGACTAGATAATGTTGGTCAATTTAAAAAAACCTCTAAGTTGTATTAATTCTTTCTATGGCTTCTATGTTCTCTACTTCTTTATGTTCTGATCTTTATTCTGCTAACTTTGGGTTTAGTTTGTTCTATTTTTTCTGTTTTCTTGAGTCATAATGTTGGCCAATTTATTTGAAACTTTTTTTTTTAAATGTAGGCATTCATTTCTATAAACATTCCCCTTAAAACTGCTTTTGATGCATCTCATAGATTTGGTATGCTGTGCTTTCATTGTAATTTGTTTTGAGATAATTTTTAATTTTCCTATTGATTTTTTTGACTTAAAAATTGTTCAGGAGTATGTTGGATTGGAAGAATTAACATTGTGAAATTGCCCATTCCTCCCAAAGTGATCTACAGATTCAGTGCAATCCCTATCAAAATACCAATGACATTCCTCACAGAAATAGGGGGGAAAACCCCATAACGATCCTAACATTCATATAGAACAATAAAAGACCCCAAATAGCCAAAGCAAACCTGAGCAAAAAATAAATAAATAAATAAAAGCTGGAGGCATAACACTACCAACTTTAAACTATACCACAAAGCTATTAGAACTGAAACAGCATAGTACTGGCATAAAAACAGACACTTGGACCAATGGAACAGAATAAAAAAGCCCAGAAATCAACCCACAAACTTACAGCTGACTGATCTTTGACACAGGCACTAGGAACATACATTGGGGAAAAGACTGCCTCTTCAATAAATGGTGCTGAGAAAACAGGATTTCCATATGTAGAAGAATAAAACTAGACCCATAACTCTCACCACAGCAAATTCAACTCAAAATGGATTAAGAACTTAAATATAAGACCTGAAACTATAAAATTCCCAAAAGAAAACAGGGGAAACAATTCAGGACATAGGACTGGGCAAAGATTTTATGAATATGACCCTAAAGCACAGGTAACAAAAGGAAAAATAGACAAATGGGATTATGTCAAGCTAAAAAGCTTCTGCACAGCAAAAGAAACAACAGAGCAGAAAGACAACCTAAAGAGTGGGAGAAAATATTTGCAAACTATTCATCCAATGAAGGATTAATATCCAGAATATACAAGGAATTCATACAATACACAGTAAGAAAACACATAACCCAATTAAAAAATGAGCAAAATAGCTGAATAGGCATTTCTCAAAGGAAGATATACAACTGGTGAAAAGACACATGAAAAAATGTTCAACATCACTCAGCATCAGGGAAATGTAAATCAGAACCACAGTACAGTGTCATCTCACCCCTATTAGACTGGCTATTATCAAAAAGATGGAGAAAAACAGATGCTGGCAAGAACATGGAGAAAGGGGAATCTTCCTATGCTGTTGGTGGGGCTGTAAATTGGTGCAGCAATTATGGAAAATGGAATGGAGATTCCTCAAACAACTACAGATAGAACTGCCATACAATCCAGAAATTCCACTGCTGGATATATACTGACAGGAATGGAAATCATCATGTTGAAGAGATACCTGTGCCCTCATGTTTATTGCAGCTCTATGTGCAATTGCTAAGACTTGGAAGCAATCTAAATGTCCATTGTCAGATGACTGGATAAGGAAAATGTAGTATATGTAGACAATAGAATAAATGATTTAAATGTTGCCATTCACAACAACATGGATAAACTTAGAGAAAATTATGTTAAATTAAATAAGCGAGGCACAGAAACAGAAATCCTACATGTCCTCGCTCACAATTGGGAGCCAAAAAATAAACATATAAAATTTTTAAAAAGGAAAGATAGATACAATAATCACAATAATACATTGAACTTTCAAAATGAGAGAACAATACTGAGATTACCAGAAGTGGGAAACGGGGATGAGGGGTAAAAGAGGAATTGGTAAGTGGCCATGAAAAACAATTACATCATATATTGTTGAATATAATAATTATCCTGATTTGAGCATCACATATTGCATACAGGTGTTGATATTCAACTCTGTACCCCACAGATATGTACAATCAACTATATTACAATTAAAATAATAGTAATAATAATTTCCTCATATTTTTGAATTTCTGAGATTACTCCTGTTATTGATTTCTAGTTTCATACTACTGTGGTATGAAAAAATCAGATATAATTTCAATATTCTTAAATTTGTTTAGAGTTATTTTATTGACTAATGTATAATCTATCCTGGAGAATGTTCTATGTGTGCCATAGAAAAATGTGTACCATGTCACTGTTGGATGGAAAGTTCTGTATATGTCCCTTAGGTATATTTGGTTTAAAGTGCAATTCAAGTTTAGTATTTCCTTGTTAACTTTCTGCTGGTTGATTTATTCATTGTTAAAAGTGACACATTGAAGTCCCCTATTATTACTGTATTGTTAGCTGTTTCTCCCTTCATGTTCATTAATATTTGCTTTATATATTTTGGTGAACTAATGTTGGGTGCATATATATTTACAATTGTTATGTCCTCTTGAATTGACCCCTTTCTTATTACCTAATGAGCTTCTTTGTCTCTTGTGACAGTTTTTGACTTGAAGTCTATTTTAGCAGGTGTAAGTATAGCTATCTATGTTCTCTTTTGGTAGTCATTTGCATGAAATATCTTTTCTCATCCCTCCACTTTCAGCCTATGTGTGTCCTCAAGCTAAAGTGGATCTTTTGTAAGCAGCGTATAGTTGTGTTTTGTTTTTGAATCATCAATTGCCATTTTATGTCTTTAGATTGGGTGATTTAATCTGTTTACATTCAACATTATGATTTATAGGTAAGAACATACTGCTGCCACTTTGCTCTTTGCTGTCTGGTTATTTTGTAGATTTTTTTATTGAACCATAATTGATTATACATATTTGTGGGCTACAGAGTTGAGTATCAATACCTGCGTACAATGTGTGATGATCAAGTCAGGATAATTAGTGCATTCATCATTACAAAATGAAATCATTTCTTTGTGTTGAGGACATTTGATCTCCTCTCTTTTAGTCATTTGATAACATGCGGTAAATTATTGTTAGTTATAGGTGCCAAGCTCAACAGTACATCAATCCAGCTTATTTTTCTTAACTAGCTGTTTTGTGTCTGTTATCTCATTTCTTGATATTCCCCCTCCCTCTACCCCTTTCCTGGCTCTAGAAACCACAGTTTTGTTCTCTCCTTTTGAAAGTTCAATGTGTTGTTATGATAGTTTCTTTCTTTCTTTCTTTCTTTCTTTCTTTCTTTCTTTCTTTCTTTCTTTCTTTCTTTCTTTCTTTCTTTCTTTCTTTCTTTCTTTCTCTCTCTCTCTCTCTTTCTCTCTCTCTCTCTCTCTCTCTCTCTCTCTCTCTCTCTCTCTCTCTCTCTCTGTCTCTCTCTCTATCTCTCTCTCCTTCTTTCTCTTCCCTCCCTCCCTACCTTCCTTCCTTCTCCCATTTATAATGAGTAAGGACATGCAGATGAGCTTGGAGAAAATTATGATAAGTGAAGAAGCCAGGCATACGGAGAGAAATATTTTGTAGATTCTTTCTTCTTTTCTTTCTCTCTTATTGTCTATTGTGATTTGATAATTTTCTGTAATGCTTAGCTTTGATTGCTTTCTCTTTATTGTTTGTATGTCACCTGCTGTACTTTCATGTAATCTCATGAGGTTAACATGAGGCTTACATAAAACATATTATTGTTATATCAGGCCGTTTTAAGGTGATAACAACTTAAATTTTGCTGCATACAAAAACTCCGGATTTTTACACTTCGCCTAACAATTTATGTTGCTAAGGTCACAATTTATTTCTTTTTAAATTGTATATTAATTAGCAACTTATTGTAGCTTCAGTTATTTTTTAGAAATTTAACTTTTTAACCTTCATACCAGAAATATGTATGATTTACACACCACTGTTACAGTAATAGAATATTCTGGATTTGACTACATATTTATCTCTACCATATTATTTCATATATGTTCATGATAGTAATTATCATCCTTCTTTTCTGCTGAAACACTGTACACTTACATTTTATTTGGTAATAATTTATATCAAAGTGATACTATATGTTTAAACTTTGTATTTTTGCATGCATGGATTTTTACTTTATATTTTTTAATGTGCTTAAAACATACTCATATTTGGAATGTATTAACCACTTTGTTCAAGTGCTTTTAGAAAGTCTGGTACTGAAAGTACGTTCACAAATAAAAACATTGTAATTTTTTCTTTATATTTCCCTAACTTTCTTCATATTTAAGTTCACATATTTTTAGGTGTGATTTTCTCTGCTTAGAATGTATCCCCTGACCTTGTCATCCTGTGAAAGTTATTTAGCTTCAAAACTCAGTTTTGATAAACTGTCTGCCAGGAAGTCTTTCTTATCATTTCCTAAACCCCCAATATTTCTAGGTTTAATCATCTCTCTGCCAGTGCTAATTCTGTATCTTAAAGCATATTCTTAAAACAAGAATATAAATGTTCTTTAAACAAGAACAATTTTTTAATGGAAACCTAATTGACTGTACATATCTATGGGGAACAGCATTGAATATCAATACCTGTGTGCAATTTGTGGTGTTCAAATCACCAATAATTTGTATATTCAACCTTAAACATTCCAATCATTTTTTTGGGTGGCCCTTTACCGATTTCTCACTAATTCCCTCTCCTTTTCCACCTTTGTTGGCCTCAGTTCTGAAAAACAATTTCTTAAGAGATGAACATAACTGTTCTTGTATGTTCTTGCACATTTACACAATATGTTAGAATTTATCTGATTATCTGTATTTTCCTCCCAGTTGTGAGCTTCTTGAAGACAGGGTTTTGTTGACCATTACTCTAATTCATTCTGTATCTCTAGGGTTTACCATATTGCCAGGCATGTGGTAGGCACACAGCAAAAATGAACACAGAGGCATATTCATTCCACAGCTGGCACCTTACCTGCTCCTGAGGGCGGACAACCACTGTATTAAAATCAGGCCACTTGTCCACCAGGGCCTTTAGCTTGAACGGGTTTCCCTGGTTCATGTGGAAGACGGTCCCATAAACCTATTACATTCAACAAAGTGGGAGGGTCAGCACATTACAAAGGGATGGTAAAATGCCCTGTGTTCAGGAGTATTTTTATGAAATTAAGGTACATACCTGATAGGGCATCTACAGCAAACAGTCTTCATGTTCTATTGTTACCCCATGTGGAGACAGATATTGAGGCAAACCATGAAATATTATATAAATACAGTTAAATATCTAGATAAATAAATTAATTGATTAAAAATTATCCACTCAAATTGTGTAATTTAGTGCTATATTGTCCCATTTTCTTCCATTTATTTACATGCACACATAATTTTCATAAACAGTGAAAATACCTAATATATAATAACTTAACATCTATTTTTCTCACACACACCATACTATGGGTATATTTCCATGTCAATAAATATTAATCTACATATTCATGTTTAATGACTACATAATATCCATTATATTGAGAACTCTAATTTCATTTCCTAACTCCTATTACTGGTCATTTCCATTTCCTCTGATGTTTCGGCTTATATTATTTGTTCAGGAAACATTTGGCATAAAACTTTGCAAATATGCCTATCATCACATATTTTAGCAGAAGAATTTCTGGGCCAAAAGTCAACTGCCATTTAAAGATTTTTTTTCCTCTTACTTATATATCCAAATTAGTCTCTGGAAAGGTCAAATAAGCTTCTGACTATTTAATAAGTAGAGACAGAGTAAAGTGTTAAAAGCACGAGCTTTGGTGACCACAGTCCAGGAACATCACCCATTGGCCAATCTGTTTGCCCTTTTGTACAAGCATCTGATCAAACATCAGTGCCCTCAAGAGGAGCACTGCAGAAGCTG